GTCTGTGTAAATTAGAGTCAATCAAATAAAACAGTAGCTTGGATAAATGCAATATAAACCTTTAGAATAGCATAAAATAAGAATGTAGTAAAGAGTACTAAATTATCAAAATACTTCTTGTCTGGAATACTAATATAAAAACAGGAAAGTCATTATGTTTAAAAGACGAGACAACTTTAATTATATGTATCTTCAGGAACTGTCATATCAGTAAGCTCATTAGCTGCAATGAAAGTTCTTCCTGCTGATCTAAGAGTACTTAAAAAACAGGATTTGTTATACTTCAAAGCAAAAAAGTATCTTTATTCATGTACTGTAAAGGTGAATTAAGACCACCTCTAGTAATACAAAAGTAGAAACTAAAACTTAACCACATAATAGAAAAAGCAAATTAAATACCCTGAATTAAACTGGTACCTGGCAAACTGATGGAGCAGCTCATCCTGAGTACCATCACACAACACACGTGGGACAACCAGATGCTCAGGCCCAGTGAGCATGGGTTTATGAAAGGCAGGTCCTACCTGACAAACCTGATCTCCTTCTATGACAGGGTGACCTGCTTACTGGATGAAGGAAAGGCTGTGGATGTAATTTATCTTGACTTTAGTAAGGACTTTGACACCGTTGCCCACAGCATTCTCATCGCAAAATTGGCTGCTCGTGTATTGGATGGGCACACGCTTTGCTGGGTAAAAAACTGCCTGGATGGCCGGGCCCAGAGAGTTGTGGTGAACGGAGATAAATCCACTTGGCGGCCAGTCATGAGTGGTGTCCCCCAGGACTCGGTTTTGGGGCCACTCCTGTTTCACATCTTTATTGATGATCTAGACGAGGGGATCGAGTGCACCCTCAGTCAGTTTGCAGATGACCCCAAGTTGGGTGGGAGTGTTGATCTGCTCGAGGGTAGGGAGGCTCTGCAGAGAGACCTGGACAGGCTGGAGCCATGGGCTCAGGCCAACTGGAGGAGTTTCCATAAGGCCAAATGCCGGGGGCTGCCCTTGGGCCACAACAACCCCCAGCAGCGCTACAGGCTTGGGGAGGAGTGGCTGGAGAGCTGCCAGTCACAGAGGGACCTGGGGGGGGGTTGATTGACAGCTGGCTGAACAGGATCCAGCAGTGTGCCCAGGGGGGCCAAGAAGGCCAATGGCATCCTGGCTTGTGTCAGCAATAGTGTGGCCAGCAGGGACAGGGAAGGGATCTGACCCCTGTCCTCGGCACTGGTGAGGCCGCCCCTCGATTCCTGTGTTCAGTTTTGGGCCCCTCACTACAAAAAGGACATTGAATGACTCGAGCGTGTCCAGAGAAGGGCAACGGAGCTGGTGCAGGGTCTGGAGCACAGGTCATACGGGGAGCGGCTGAGGGAACTGGGGGTGTTTAGTCTGGAGAAGAGGAAGCTGAGGGGAGACCTCATCGCCCCCTACAGCTCCCTGAAAGGAGGTTGCAGAGAGCTGGGGATGAGTCTCTTTAACCAAGGAATAAGTGATAGGACAAGAGCAAATGGCCTCAAACTGCACCAGAGAAGGTTTGGACTAGAGATTAGGAAGCATTTCTTTACAGAATGTGTTGTTAGGTGTTGGAATGGGCTTCCCAGTGAGGTGCTGGAGTCCCCATCCCTGGAGGTGTTTAAGAGTGGGGGTGACATAGTGCTGAGGGTAATGGTGTAGTTGAGAAGGGTCAGTGCTAGGTTAATGTTTGGACTAGATCATCTTTAAGGTCTTTTCCAACCTAGATGATTCTGTGATTCTTTGAAACTACAATTGCATAGGTCACACGTCTCTTGCTGCTTGCCTGTCAAAATAATATTTTAAAAAATTAAACTTTTTTTTTCTAAAGAATTAACATACTGTAAATGATTTATGATTTATAAAATACTATAAAATAACTGTTAGCTTCACAACTAACAGAACGTGTCCTGCTCTTAAAGTCTTCCAAGCTATGTTAACAGCTCACGGTATGACAATTACTGAAAATATTTAATGAAAAGAAAGGAGTAAGAATTTTTCTTCTAAAAGGGATTAAAAAAAAAAGAGTTGCTAAACACTGTAGTGTTTTAATGTTAACCACTCTGAATCAGATATAACTTGAGAGATAAGTTTTAAGAATGAGCAAGTACAAATTAAAAAAGATAGAAGGTATGCTACAAATGGGCTGGATAATGAAAGGACAGTCATGTCAAGGAAGAATTCTAAACCAGCATCTTTTAAGTAACTTGTTTTAAGAATCTTTTAGAATATTCAACAATCACTCGATGGTGATCAAACCAAAACCAAAGAATGCATAGTATAGTTCCATTTTTATACAGTGTGTTCAATTTAGAAGTTTTCTGCTAATACTGATCAAATGGCATTTACACATCTTTCAGCCATGTTAATTTTGATTTATAATTTAAAGGACACCTGCAAATAACACCTTTATGTCACATATATGAAATTATTGTATTCAAATAAATTAATATTCAGACAGGAAATAAAAACAGCTCAGTAAAAAAACAGGCTTGCAACAAAGATATGGGAGAAAAGAATATTCTTATCAAACTACATTGATTTATTCTTGGAAATTATTTAAATGTCCTTCAGAGCATAAAATTCAGTGAAACCATGAAGGGAATGGCATTCTGTCACTTCTACAAGGCCTTCATTTTTGCTAAGACAAAAAGTAGAGAAATGGATTTAGAAACAAATACTGGAACAAAATACAACCCATATGGTTCACACAAAAACTGAACATTATATTAGTATAATACAAAACTAAAAAAGGATGAGGTACCTCCTTGCCCAACAACTTTGACCTAAAACAGAACCTTCCTATCGGATGACAGGAAAACATCAGGCTGACTTCCTTTCTTCTGTACTACCACCAGCTTGTAACCCTTAGATGTAACTTTTGGATCCAGTGCTTTTCCACATTTACTGGAAGTCTGAACTGTCGCCAATAAATACAACACAGGATGGATTATTCTTGTTAAGCACTAAGTACAGTATCTCGGAATGGAAGAGATGCTCTCAGTCCTCAATACACAAATTCTGTTCTAACACAAGCAGTAGTTATTCTGGAATAAGCATATTTGACTAGATGATCATCAAGATAAAGGATTATTGATGACTTCCCCTCTATCACTCTCCCTAGCAGCCATAATGATGCCTTGCAATATCTGCTGTGTTTTCCTAGCTTGCTGTAGAAGCCTCAATGCAAATCATTCCTGGTAAACTTGTTAGTCTTCATCAGCATACCAGTAAATTACACCAGACCAGGTGAATCCATTATAGCAGATATGGCTGATCACAACCACAGATACACAGATTTTTTTGAACTGGCATTTTGGTAAGCTCAAGCAAAAATAGCCACTTCATTAAAAAATTACAGTGCAAAGTTGGTGCATATTAAATCATCTTGCTTCATAAAAATATACTTCTACAAAAGTACTGAAAGGTTTAAAAAAACACCCATGAGCCGCAATCTTTGAGATCTGATGGTTTTTCCAAAACTCCAGTGCAGGAGGAGTCATTCAAACTAAAATAGTTTTGTAGATAGGGAAACAAGTATAAACAAACACAGTGATACCTAATCTGTTAAAGACATTCTAAGCCTTTGTCTTTTTCATATAGTAAAACTAAAATGCAAAAAACATCTCATAATACACTGAATTCAGTATATAAACTTGAAAACAGTCATTGATGTCCATCCTACAACATACTGAGTGACATCTCAGATCCATCTAATCAATACTAGATATCTAAAAAAACCCAGAAAGCCTGGATTAAGAGATAATTTTATTTACTCTTTGAATGGCCAGTGGTTTATATCTCAGAAGCTTTCCAGAAGACAATCAGCAGCTTCATATAAGATGACTGTCTACAGTAAAAATAATGGCTTCTAATAAGGAACATTTTAGTTTTTCTAGCTGATATAAAAAATTCAACCAGAATACAGTCAATAACATACTAATAAGAAAAAAAAATCAGTGGCCAGTTAACAATGAAAATAATGCATGAAATACTAAATTTGTATACAACAGAATCTCCTCCTATTACCAGTAAAAAGTTAGATGAAGGGCTTGAAACATTTGACAGCTATTTAAAAATATTTGAACTTCTAAGTGGTTATAATGCACCAAATAAAATTGGAAACTTTAAGAACCATGACAGCAGAAAACAAACTCTATGTGAGTGAACACTATCTCAAGTTCTCCATCAGCAGCAGCTTTTGGAAACCTGTAGTTTGTGTCAGGAAGACTGACTGAGGCATAAGACTGATACTGTACAAAGCAATACAGATAAACACTGATATTCTCCAAACTGACATAAACTAAAAAATGATTAACTGAGACAGCCCATCCAATCTTTTTTCCTGCAATCAGGACAGTGTTGAGGTGGCATCAATTTCTAACTCCATGCTTAGTCAGTTTAAATTACTTAAGCTGCAATAAAATACGAAGGAGGCACTCTTAATTAAGAAATTAACTGCAAAAAACCTGCTGCTGCTTATGTTGAATTTACCATATTCTATGCTGACCAATGAAGCAGTAAAAAGAGAAATTTATTTTTCCAGACTTCCAATGCTACTGTTGCATGAAAAACATACACACAGGGAGGACAAAACTGTTATGATTCATGTTTAAGAAAAAAAAATTAAGTTATGGCATGCCAGCCTTTCTGCATTTCTGAAAATTAAAAGACATTGAGTTATTGTACTACTCTTACCATATAAAAGACTGAAAGTTGGAAATAGTTTAAGATCTGTTAATAGAAAAGAACTTTTAAAAGATATCTATTTTGGACATTAATTCTAGAATGTGATGGGAAATCCTGTAGCAATTATTAGAGGACTGAGTAATAAATATCTTTAAGACCACTTGGAACAGCTCAAATTACTAATCTATGATATAGACTCTTAATGTCTATTTTTAAAATAATGTTAGTAAAAAATAAGTATCATCTCACATAAAAGACACTGCAATACACTTTTCAAAATCAAAACATTTAGTTAGTTATACAAACCTTTACTAGCTTTATCTAAATGCTGAAAATCCTCAACAAAATTCAGGACATCTTGATAGCTTTCTTCACACACTTCTACAAGAAAATGGAGCAATGTTGTTTTTTGATCTGCTGACTTTGTGTCCTTCAGCTAGAGAGAGAAAAATAAATGTTAAAACACTGAGAATAAGATTACTTCTGACTATTTCGATAATTAACAAATATTACTAATTGTGAACTCAAGAAAGGTGAGAACAAACTGTTGAACTGGTACAGCTCTTTTAAAGAAAACCCTAAGTTTAATTTCCTCCCCTGCTAAAAATCCCTATAAAGAACACAATAAATATTTTTAAATTCTATGCAATATTTGAGTTCTGTACCAAAACCAGTACAAATTTATTTTTAAAAATATAATTATTTAAGCGATATAGGAATATTTGCAAAACTGTGAATAAACTCATGAAAGTGTAAAAAAAAAAAAAAAAAAAAATTGAAACCAGAGCTAAATCAACAAAATCTAGCAATACATGAAGCACTCATTCACTCCATTACATGATTTTCTTATGTGTGAAGCTAACTGTAGCCTAATAATATTTATGCAGTGGAAGCTACAACCTCAGCCTGTACAAGTTCTTGTTGTTATCAGTTCTCAATAGGGCAAACAAGAGTTCATAGGCTTCATTGTTTAAAAAATTCAACTTCAAAAATTCTTAGGCACACACTTTTCTTTTTGAACCCTTTATACATATAAAATTGCTTTAAGCCTGTCCATTTTAAAACTTGCAGCTACTTGTGTAAAAACATTAACAACTGACAACTAGCATTCAGTTACACAGTTCTGTTGTAGGCTCCCATTTGAGCTAGTCTTTTAAATCATTGGAGAGGCTTTTAGAAATAGAAAATGACATCTCATATGAAAGTGTTCGCTACTTAAAAACTATTTCTGCATAAAACAATTTAACAGAAAAGTATACATGTACATAGGCACATACAAAGTATGCACACACACTAAAGGGCTGCCACAGTTGCACGCAGACTTGTACATCTGAATATTGGCGGGAAAAATCTTTAGCACGCTATTACACTGGCACTAAAAATGTAGAAAACTCATGTTAGTTTGCTTCAACCACAAGACAGTTCTTTATTTTGGTTACTATGAAATGTATATACAAGTGATCAGCAATTATTAACCCTATAAGAGTTACTACAGCAACAACACAGAAAGGAAAAATTACTCCCTTTCCAAAGACAGTTCAAAAGCAGATACAGACCTATACAGGGATTGCATCTGATAAAAAACTGAGAGCAAGATTAATCCTCATTTAAATATACATAACTTTTTTTGTTAATATATATTAAAAGTTTTCCCCATGGTTGCTCGTTTCTTATATAGAGGTTTTTTCATACTTCCTGTGCTTCCCAATATCCTCAGAGATCACTTAAAGGGCATTTTATTGATCTTATTTAAAAACCAAATTAGCGTATATTGTTTGCTTTTTCCATACTGTATGTAAATTAAACTGAAGAATTTTGGATGGTCGTAGGTTGATATTTCATACTTCACTGTAAAAAGTCAGTGATTATTTTCAAACACCAAAATGATACTATCTTAATAAATATGATGAGAATGTATTCTTCCAGAATATATATATTTTCCTTCACACAAATGGATTAATAATAATGTGAGACATAATTTTAAAAATAAACAGAAAATGGAACACATATATAGCAAAAAATATTCTAGTGTCATTACTGTATGCAGTGTTATGAGTTACTTCTACTGTATTGGAAATCTCAATGAGAAATGTCTTAATAATTGCAACATCACACAAAATTTCTACAATGTGACACTGCTTAAAACACATGTAGTTAACAAAAGTTAGGTTTTTTTAAAAAAAAAACAGTATTATGAACATGCATTTAATTTTAATATATCAGTATTTAATAAAAGATTGAGTATACCATATATTAGCATACCAATATCATATCTCTCTTCTGAGAATATGCATGCAGAAATATTACAGTTCAATTCTACATGATGCAGGGAGAAGGCAAGGTATGGAACTGTCTTCTGCGAAGTGGGTAGTCCATATAGTTCCCTATATATAGCTGAGCAGCAATTAAGAGCATATGAATTGTATATTCTTCAAATATTACAGAAACCAATAAATTTGAAGGACAGAAACTACTGCAAATTTCTTAATTTCTCAGAAGCCCTACTGAAAACTGCTGTGCAGGCAGTCTGCAATTTGCAGCCTTCTAGTTTTGGGCCTTGAAGGAATATTGGTTTGGGTGGGTTTTTTCCTGTTTCAATACTAATGTTTTTAATAGTTGTTCCAGTTCATTATTCTCAGAACAGAGAAGAGTAAGCATTAACCAAGACACTACACATAGTTAAGAAAATCCTCAAAATTAGACATACACAGTTTTACCTCTGTGTTTCCAGACAAAGTGATCTGTCTGTGTAAGACACAATTTCATAACCACTGAAGGCTTGTCACTCACGGACTTCCTAAACGAGGCCACAATTGCATGAGGTAAATTAAGAATTGGTGACTAGTACCCTGATACACATAGGATAGTAAATGCAAACTCTGTGATTCTCTCACTGAAAATCTGTCAATCTCCAAAAGAACAAGTAGTTGATTGTAGGTTGCACTTGTCCTGGGATATCTAGTAGCAGAGATCTGACATTTTGCAGACAATCTCTAGGGTGGCCACAGTTGCTCTGCCTCTCAACAAAATCTACAATAGCTGGAATTTCTTTCCTAAGCATAGAATGGTTTGGCTTGGAAGGGACCTTTAAAGATCATCTAGTCCAACCCTCCTGCCATGGGCAGGGACATCAATACACTCATATTCATCAACCATTAAGGTTGCATTATCATCACCCTAAAAAAGTTTTTAAGCACTGTGGTCTGATATTTACAGACTAGCACAAAGCGATGCCACATCAAATATATATGAAAACTTTGTCACTGGAACTTCATTTTTTTACTTACACATTTCTGATGTAAATGAAACATACTGACTACCATGATATATGTTTATGCATGAACTAATAAAGTCCTGAAAGGAGTAAACCAGTATCACCATTTTTAATCCCATAACATGAAACAATGTAAAAATTACACTGTACAAAGCATTTAGGTAATAAGGAGCAAATTACCTTTGTTGGCCCTTATATCTTTGCATCAACTTCACCTATAGACTATTGATACTGATCAGCATTTCTCTTGAGCAGAATGTTGGACTAGATTTCTACTGACATCCCTTCCCACGTGAATTATTCCATGACTCCAACAAAATGCACACACTTCTCAACAAGTTAACTAAATACTCTATTCAAAATATTACTTATTATAGCTCTTAATTTGGCCACATGGAGACTCTGAGGATTATTAGTATACCTGGATTTCAAAAGCTTTCCACAGCCCTCTTCACTATCAAGTTCCTAACTATCTTTGGAGTTAGAAAGCTTTCTTAACTTTTAAGCAAACTTCTTTTGTTACTAGCAAAGCCAACTATTCCATCTGCTACTTTAGCTACACAGAAAACAAATGTTCTTTGCCATAAACTAATAACAAAAGGACAGTGTTATGTCCTCCTCATGTTCCTCTCCTTTCTTTTCTAAACTAAATACACAAAACCGCTTTTTTCTGTTTAGAAGTGTTACATATGACTATCATCTGGATTCTCACCAGTTAGTCTATATATTTCCTGCAGTAATTCAGACAAGACTTCACTTAAAACTTTATCAGCACCAAGTAAGCAGCAGATAATTACCACCTTTATAATACATAGAAGGTCCATTAAAAGAGACATTTTTTCTTCTCCAACAGAATGTCGTAACTTTCTGTAAAGCTAAATGACCTCTAAGCGTGCAAATCTAAGCAACTATGAGATCCTAGATTATCAAATGCATTTAATGCCAGAGCACTGCAGAGTTAGCCAGGACTTAAAGCCCATTTGCTAGAATTCGGCCTAGACATTCACTCCTTACTTTCATTATCTGAACACATCAGTTCCCTTTCCTATGTGTAGTACTTCATAGTAGCCTTCAAAATGTTTATCTTCTACATCTTAAATTATTTCTCCAGGGTAATTTTTGAATGTTGATCCTGCTCTGCAAAGTGTCTATAATAATTACCTCCATATTGTTTTCATAAGTACATTTCTTTTTTTGTTGCCTTGTGCATTAAAAATACAGAGAATATAACCAGACCTAGAACAGATTCTTGTAAAATCATATCTAGGTAAATGCAGCAAATTAGAGAACCTTTAGTACCTTCCTTCTGAATATGTTTCTCAACAAATTGTACTTTTAACTCAATAATTTCATCTCCACTGTATTTCTCTAGATGGCTGATGCATGCTTAAATGTTTACTTTAGACGAGGAAAGATATATAACTTATTCTCTATAAATATTTAAGTTATAGGTTTCGCATTCAGCACTCGAGAAACATAGTGAAAGAATTCTTCTGAAACATTGCAATGGGTAATTATTTTAAAGAACGTAGAAGTTAACATTTTATTTTTTCTTGTGTAAAAAGATAAAGAAGCTGAGGCAAGACAAAGAATGCATACAAACTTCCAAATAATTCCCTTCTCATAAGGACAACTACATATATGTACACTCTCTACATACAGATTTTTCAGTGACATCCCAGAGGGCACAGGAAAAAAATAACAACACTAAATCAGGGGAAGGTAATTACCATTAGAATCTATTATAAAGTAACACTCAGAAAAGTACAGATGTCTTCTTGTATATACCTTATATAAAAGTTGAAAGAGTGAAAATGTAAGGAAAATTAGAAGAAACAGGGAACTGATGAAACTGAGCGACAACAAAAGAGAAGTCGATAAGGAGAAAATTTATGTAAATGAAAAAACATAACTGTATTAAAACAGATTAAAATGTGACAATCTTAGAAGTGCTTAGACATGTAAGACTACAATATTACTATGATCGCGGTGATGTGGTCCCTCCATAATCATATTTAGTTTGGTTTGGGGGGGGGGGGGGGTTT